TGTAAAAGGGTATTTTTCCAAAGCTACCGACAATGCGCTGTGCACTGTGAGGGTCGATGGGTACTCGGTATACTACCTCTGCCCTCTCACTACTAATTCATTCAAACAAGCATCTACATACACAAACAAATATATACGTACATACATTGCACAGCTACACGATCATAATAATATATTGACAATATTTAAACATGGGGAAACACCCTCGTTTCACTTAAAAAAAGGGAACCAACAAACCACTTTCATGCCCATGGACTTTATGTCAGAGCAATGCTTTCGTGTGCTCCCTGTAAGCAAGGTGTGGTACTCCTCGAATAAATGTGACACACTGATCAACCTTTCTCTACAAACGAGATACATGCACGGATTCTGACCGAAAAGTCCGTGTGTCAGTCGCGTATGGCCTATCCTCAAACGGGTGAACATGATCTCTTCCTTTCGTTTCAGACCTTCGGTGGGCCATCGCTCAGTCAGCTTTGACACACAAGAGCTTCTCGGACGATCCAAGAGTAGTAGAATATTCTCAAAGCACCAGATGAATACCCTTCAGATTTTTTTCTATGTAAATTTTTCGAAGTAAATTTACCTTGATTAGAAACCGAACTAAAAACAAATTATCCATTATAATAATTACGAATAAATTAATGCTAGGCCGGATAATTCGTTTGCACCGTAATTGAAGGTTGAACGTAATTCATTGTAATTTTATTTTTATTTATGTAATTTTTTTATTTCGTCTTTTATTTACAAGTGAATATATAAAAAGTGATAATGGTCAATCCATTTAATTAGCCAATAGTATACATAGAAATTTACTTATTAATTGCAATATTATGAAGAAATTAAATGCTCCGTTTAAAAAATCGTACTTTTTAATGAAACACGTAATTCTAATTAAGAGACTAAAATCTTGCTGTTAGGGCGGTTATCTTGCAAGACAGAACGTAAAGATATTTTCATGAAATTCATCTCCACTTGATTAAAACGGTTCGAGAAAAACGGGAAATAGAAATATCCTTAAATATATTTTCCATCTCTTCGTTTTCTCTGAGGAATGGAAACTCTGAGAATGAATATAATAATTTAAACAATGCATGTAATTAATATGTGCACCCTAGTAAATAGCGAGTATCTATAATTAACCAATGGAAACTTTCAAATTTCAAGAGAGTATCAAAATAAATGTTTTAAAACATATTTTCTTCCCAGATATTTTTTTTATTAAAGAAAGTAAATATTCCATTAAAAAAAACAGATTGTCGACAAAATTGCCAATGATCAAAAAAAGATAACCGTGTTTGTCAGGAAGAATGTAAAGATCGATTTTAAGGTTTGGATGTATATAGAACTGGAGGTAGTCTTTCATCGTGTCTGTTTTTGTTTGTAAATATTAAAATTATTAACGGAAAAACAATCCAGGCTCAAATCTCAAAGAAAAAATAAAAATAACTACATATTATCAAAATTTGTTGCCAAGGTTGAACAGATTTGGTAGAAGGTGAATTTTTTTAATATCTCAATTGCTATTCCGATATACTTTTCAACAGTACTATAAGTATAAAACAACACAATGTTTTGTTTCCCGGAAATTTCAACTGTTCAAAATTATCTTTGTAAGTGTTATTGTTATAAAGTTAGTAATAGACTTTGCCTCGATTTCAAAATAAATGATTATTCAAATGTCGTGAGATGCGGTCTGGTGTGATGTAGGTTTCAGAAAAACATTTTCTTTATCGTGCCAACGTTTCGATCTTTATTGAGATCATCTTCAGGGCTCAAAGTGTTTGTTTTCTGCGTAAGTGTGCCATTCTTGCCTGCCGTGTTGATAGTGCCTAAATAGTGCATAAATTATATCATCAAATGATAGTAACAAAAAATCATTTTTTTGTTATTAAAAACTATTTTACGATTATTTGTACGTTTATATAGTATGATTGTATTTAAATTTTACTTTCTGCTGGAAAGTCTATAAACGCAGGAATAAAAAAAACACTAACAATAAAATGGAATTGATTACTTTTTTTAATCGCAAGAGAGCATCTTCAATTTCCGTGTGTAAAACGAGCGGCATTTAATTTTTTCCCGGTTCGTATGCAGGTTTACTTTATAAATCGGCGAAACTCCGCTTCACACGAGATATCTGGGCCCTTTTTTCAAAAGGACTCCGGGAAAACGACGTGCACAGGGGCTTTTCAATTCTTCCAGAATAATTGCCAGTTTTCCTCAAAAACCGCTCAATTTCAAAAACCTTGGCGTTTTTCCAAAACCACCCGGTCCCACTGGTTATAGTATAATTTCAAGGTCATCTTAGTTTCTCAACAACCGCTCGACAAAAACAAAACAAAAATTTAAAAAAGAGACGGAAAAAAAACTTCGGATAATACTTCTCATAAAGCAATACACTTACCCAATAATCGGAAGAAAAATGCAATATCACTTGCGATAAAAATCTCGAATGTTTACGAATTTACTCGGGCATACAGACGAAACTCACGGCCTTGACTTTTACATATTTGGAATTAATTAAATAAATTCAAGTGCGCCGTATGTACAAAATAAGATAGCAAAGTTTAAAAATTGCTCTGACACGGTTTTGAATATTACTCATATTACTCGATTTTTTTTTCAAACTTATACTGTTATATAAATATGTAAATAAAGAATAACTTAATTTTATTTTACATATTTTTTATTGTTACGAAATAGTCGATGTGGAATAGACAGCACATCAATAGGTTTGGCGTGTATGAACACGGCCGCACTCTCGAACACTGAAGAAGTTGGTCAAACGTGTCTAGGGTATCAATAAAACAATTGGTCAATACAATTGAAAAGCTTTTGGGACTTTGGTACATACTTTGAAACCGAGTGCAATTTTGTCTTGACAGAATTGTAAAAGTTATCATTTTTATTCAAAATTATAGATCGTATTTTAACTATACCTCATCAGGTTAAATAGTTTACTATAGTTAATTTAAATAGTTAAAAGAACAATTTTACCGCTAAAGTATATTAAAATATTTTATTACTTTAAGAAAATATGATTTACAATTAAATTTAAACAAATATTTTTTATCGAGCAACTAATAATTTATAGTTTTTCATGCTCATACTAGCGTTGGAATTCAATATATGATTCTAAAAAAGTAAAAAAATATTACAAAAAATTGAATTCTTCAAAATCATTAAAATTAAATTTCCTAAGAGGAAAATAGTGTTGATTTGTTTTTCATTCGCAAACATGATACAGGATTACGATTTACAATTGCTAGCAGCTGTAAAATAATTCATTTTTAACGAAAAATATTCCCAAAAACCAAATTTAACGTCTTCATTATAAGAGCAAATAGTATAAGCTTTCTGATTTAATACTACAGCTTTGAATTGCATGGATTTGCTTTTATTGTGTGTTACCTCATCATAAAACGTTGTTGTGATTAACAAAATATCATTGGAATTTGTAAGGCAATTTTTAATAGTTAGACAATTTTTAATAAATATGTAGAAAACTAGTTCTCCCTTTTTTTAAATTAATTAATTAATTTTTTTAAGAAATATGAAAATGAATGGGAACTCAAATTGTTGAAGAGATTACTAAAATGTCAAAGTTGAATTGGCGACCGTGGGTAACTCCAAATTTTTGCGCTTAATTTTGATGTGTGAATTAGCGTTTAGAAGAAAGAAAATAGGCATAATAATATTTGATAGTGATAGACGAAGAAATTGATTTTCAGTTAAATTATTCGTTAAGGGTTGAACGTAAGAACAATTGTTTTTCTATTTGTGTAATCTCCATGAATTAGTGAATCTCAATAATTGAAACCATCCGTTCAACTCAAAGAAATTATAAAAAGGCTGAATTTCCCACAATATGAAAATTCCAATACAGCGTACAGAAAGATATCCAGTTTTCCATTGTAATTTAATGGATATTTTTTAAAAATTTGCATATTTTTATAATGGCTTAGTACGCTTAATTCTGCTTTCATTTTTAAAACTATAAAATGTCTGTACTGAACTGGATAATGACTTTTATTTTAAATACACAACCTAATTATGCTATCATTTCTAGTGATTAAATTTTATTGTGATCAATCAAGTTCTTTTAATTTTTTACAAAGAATTTTTTATAATTTTTAAGACTTATTATTTTTTTACCGTTGAGAAGAATTTATAAATATACAAATTTTCTTCCCCAAAAATATCTCAAGACGACCTGGGAATATTTCCAGCCTGCTAAAATATATTCAGTTTTACATTTCAATTTGAATTCGAACATTAAACAGATTAGGACTTAGGATTAGGAAAATCTAATATTCGCTCAACTTTTCGAAATTGGACACATTCAAACTTCCCCAGAAATAATTATTCTATGAAAACTTTTTTTCAATATTTTTAGTTTCTCATTCTGATTGAAGGCGAAGATTTTGTCACACTTTATTATATGTACGACAGTCTTTGTTAAAAATAGATTAACAAGTCGTGTTGTTAGCATGCTATTTGAAAATCTGGTTTTCTTCCTTTTTAAGTTTTAATACTAAACTTATTGTTTGTTGTTTCGTATTTACAATTTTTTTTCTATATAAACAGTAATTAACTTTCAGAATCCGATGTCTGTAACCTACACTCTGTATTTTTAAAAAATACAAATGAAACAAAGATTTTTTTCTTCACATATACATACTATTTTTATATTTAATTTTCTATGCTCTTTGTAGAAGTTGCCCCTACAACTTGGGACGAACGGAGAATATTCGTTTAATGTAATTTTTGATAATTTGGTGTTTTGTTTCCTAATTACCTTCATTAAAAGGTAAGAGGGTTAAATGTTTTAATCTTCCGTTTGAATTATAACGTGTAGAATAACAAAACATGTCTGTAAGCTTTGATTTAGTGAAAAATAAACACATTTTAAATGTTGGGGCTTTAGAATGCAGGGATTGAGTGATCGGAGTTGATGGAATGATAGATTGATTGATAATAACGAAAGCTTCACTCACCGATGATGGCGGCTGCATATTGCCTAAATTTTGCTTTCGACGTGTATTTCATTTCGGCTTCAACTCGCTCATGCTGGTCGTCACACACTGACTCGACTCCTCTCACATTTACACCCGGCTTATCTTGGCCAGGGCTCCAGTTCTGTTGGTGGGGGCTCTCGGTAACCGGCTCTGTTTTGACTTTAGCACATGAGGTTGACTCACTGGGGGAAACCATTCTGAATCGCCCCCTGAGATTATACGCGGCCGTTTGCCGAGGATCGACGATCCATCCTTGAATTTCACCTCGTTTTCTTCGGAAGAGGGGAAAAAGAGTGGATATAGTGGAAGACCGGATGGAAATGGACTCACTCAGTCGGAAATTCCTTGACTTTCGACTGCCAAAATGATATCAAAACAGATTCATCCCCAAACCAGACGTGTGATTTCAACCCAGTTGAATTTTATACGACCTGAAACTATCCGTCCAACTTTCAAAGAAATTGTAAATAGGACAATTACCCTAACATAAACATTCCAATATAGCCCGCAAAAATAAATCCAGTTGTCCATTTTACGTCGAATTTTAACAGATGTTTTTAAAATTGTTGCATAACTTTACTCCGGGTTTAGAAGGAATGCGCTTAATTGTGCGTTTAGTTTTTTAAAATGTCTCCCTCCAGTAAAGGAAAATGTCTGATTTTGAATATAATCTACCTAAATATAACCATAGTAATGCTTTCTTTTAATCAAGCATATTAATGCATTATTAACGTCAGAAGTCTGGATCGCGGTGGTTAAGTCCGGAAAAAGTCTGATGTTCAATGTTATTTACACGTTTATGAAAATTTAATTGTATGTTTTGAATAAAAGCACATTTTTTAATAACTAATAACTATAAGATCCAACTGATGCTATTACTTTTTATACTTTTACTATCTTCCTTCAAAATTGAACATATTTTAACGTATTGAACCTGAGATAGAGTTTTCTGGATTGGTCATTAACGTTTTTCATTTTTAGTTTTGCTTGTCTTTCTTCATTCGTTCACTTTACCAATCACAACTAGTATCGATATTCTATCTGCAAAAAAAGTCCTACAGAAAACGGCAAATTTTTATTTAAGTTTCAATATACTAACCATGTACATAATATTAAAAGCAGCGATGTCAGTAAAGGTTATTAGAGTAAACATATAACACAGTCAAACCGAATATGACAGGTACGATCGAATTAAAGGTACATCAACCCGTAGATCACACGAGAACATTTCACATTTTTAAATAAAATAGTAACAGCAGTAGAACGGGCGTAATAAAATATCATACTAAAAGAATGAATATATAAACATAATAATTAATGAGCCTAATAACAGAAGACATTTAGTTTAAAAACAAATAGTTTTTTTTATTATATTATCAGCATTAAATTTTATGTGTGGTGATTAGTGACCATTAGTGTATGATTATTCGGAAATCTTGAGATGCGGTCTGGTCTGATGTTGGATTCAGAAAAACATTTTCTTTATCGTGCAAACGTTTCGATCTTTATTGAGATCATCTTCAGGGTCTTTGAGCACTCTCAACACGACACGCAAGGATGGCACAATTACGGAGAAAACAAACACTTTGAGCCCTAAAGATGAGCTCAATAAAGATCGAAATGTAGGCACGATAAAGAAAATGTTTTTTCTGAAACCTACGTCACACCAGACCGCATCTCACGATTTCCAAATAATAATTAAATTTCATCGTGGTAACTAAAGGCGTTATTTATTTATTTTTGAATAACGTCTTTAATTTTTATAAATGGTCATACATCTTTTACATGACTTCCATGTTTATTGCACACAATTGGAACGTTTTCTAGATTTTCCGAAGGTCCGTAACTAGGTTTATACTTAAATTTACAATTTTGATCAGATTTCTTGGCTCAGTGGTTCAAAAATTTGGAAATGGTTTTAAAAATCCTATTTAAACGTTATGTAAATTAAGCTTATAAAGTATACTTCAATTAATTATACTTTTAATATAAGGTCCTGGCGGGATGAAAAAGCAAGTGTCACGAGCGGGATTTGAACTCCGACCGTCGGCTAAATGCTGCTCTAACCATTTTGACACAAGTATTCATATAACCTATGCGAAGACGGTGAGTTCGAATCCCGCTCGTGACACTAACTTGTGCACTTCAACCAAGACCTTAGCTGAAAATATACTAAATTAAAATAATTAATACGGTAAATTTTGACTAGTAAACACATATATGGATTGCGTGTATTATTTAATTGTTATGAATCATTCAATATTAATTTTACAATATACTTCAAAATGTTAGCTTAAATTAAAAAGTTATTTAATGTAAAGGTAATAGTGTGGAAGCCACTGCTTGGCAATATGTACCTTTCTTGGAAACTGAAGTTTCTATTTTAACCAAATTTAAAGCAACTGGACGTAAATAGAAAAGGAAAGGAGAATTAATGAAAGAGCGGCTTAAAGGATTTACAGTTACCTGCGCTACTTAGTATAAACCGTGCTTAAGACAAATTATGGACAATCCGCTATATTTATTCCACCTTTTTGCAATAATGTCGGTGCATGAAAGCACAACTAAATAAATCCATTAAAGCGCATAAATATTTTAATTATTTAAGACCATTTTATTTTGCGAGATATTGAAACACGGAAGATTTCAATAATGGACAGATATATAGATAGATAGATAAATTCTTTATTAAATGAAACTGTAATTCGTCAGACTCATCCTCACTATTGTTATCTTTTGTAAAGACACCCCAGTGACCTAGCTTCCTTGTCTTGAGTGACACACATTATTGTACTCAAATTGACATATCCTAATTTTATGAGTGTAATTTTGAAAACTCAATAAATACAAGAAATTTAATAATACTAAATCATATTTTAACTCAACGGCTCTCAAATCAATTGTAAAAGTGCTTATTAAGTGTTTATTACAAAAGGTTAGCATTAGCATCTGCCAGTTTTGACCATGCAATAAATTCAAAAGAAAAATATTATCAATGTTACATTTAAATATTTGCTTTCTAGAACGTCATACTTATGGCAAGAAATCAGTAATTGATTCAGTTGTTCTTCTCCCTATTGAATTATTAATTATTTAATTTTTTATTACTATTATTTTTTTAAGAGGGTGTTTCAGTTACGAGGTTATATTATAAACCCACGGGGTGACGGTGTTTTTGAAAAAGTTGAGTTCGAATGTAAGGCCGCTGGATTCGAACGTGGGATCTTTACCTTGCAGTGATGACCGCCTAAACCGTTCCAACCACCTGCGCTCCTTGCGAATTATAAACCTAATTCTGTACAGTGGTTAATAGGCACTGTATAAATACTTATTTATTGAATTGGTGAATTCTAATTCCTTGCTATATGAGTTTTTAATTTATTTAAAAAAAGCTCTCGATATTGCTCTTTTAATCAATTCCTAATATCCAATAATTGATATTCCATACTTCTGAATGAGTAGAGTCACCCCCAGATTGTAATTTAATATGTAGTTATTCAACTGCCAGCGTCTTCGAGAGTCATCAATAAGGCATATTTAGCACTTTTAGGAATAGAATAGAGTAGAAAAGTGTTTATTACTATTACATTACAAAAGATCTTACAAAAAAAGTTAAATGCTAAATGCATAATAACTTTAAACACAAACAGCACGGGCTGTATTCCGTCTGCTGAGTTGGCTTAATATATAATAAATTATCTTATGTTACCGATTTAATGGAGCATATTTAAATATAAGTTATTGTTGAAAACATTGAATCAGACCTTCAACAAGGTATTCCAAACGAGTACAGTCAATAAATATCAACTGGAATTATAACACAGTTTCTAATAACCTTTCATACTTTAACAATTGTGTAGGACCATTATTTGCATATGTTGTTTCTATAAACATTTCTATAAAGTTTATAACATGGAATAATTAATAACAATTTGAGCAATAATAATTTTAATGTAAGAATATTAAATTAACATTGTCAACAATGGTGCTAATAATTCTTAACTCAATTTATAACACAGGATAATATCTTATATGCTATCATGTTTTAACAATTTTTTAATCTGGTATTACATATTAATTATTTCTATAAGTATAAATTTAAGTTTTTAACAGGACATAGCACTGTTAGTATGTAATATATTATTACGGTCAGATCTATCCCAGTGTATAAATTGGCCGCCTAAATAGTCTCTTAATAAAAATCATAAAAGTTGCTTCTTTATAACATTCGCCGCCCCCTAATATCTCCCCATAACCCAACACAGACAGACATAATATACAGTTAAAATAATCGTAATTTTGCATCAAGTGATACAGAATTATTTTCCATGAACAAACTCTGTACAGAGTACAACGCACAATGTTATTTTTTAAGTTTTTCTTTACGTTCATTCATAAAAGGTTGCCGTTAAAAGGACTCCTATGTATTATACGGATTGACGACCTCAATTACCAATTGAATCCAATATTATACTTTGTTCATTTAAAAATAAACATTATGTTCTATATCTAATAGCAAATTTAATTGTAAAGTGTAGATGTACGATTATGTACTTTTGTTATCTCTTTGAAATTTTCTTAATTCATTACAGTTTTATTTGCGAAACTTTAATATTTTAAAGAAGACGTGGCTGACAGAAAAACAATCTAAGTCAGTAATTGTTACTGGAAGATAACAAGACTTAACAACTTAAAGGGCTTTTAAAGAGTTTTGTAATTAGGGACGTTCAATGGAAAAAGTATAAATTAAAGGCTGGGCTATCTATTTCTAACGAGGTAGTTCAACTACCTAACTCAATTTTCCTTCTCCTTGTAGTCCCTTGTCTTAAAAACATAAAAACTTTTATTTCACAACCGATATCGTTTGAATTTGAAACACAATTATACATTGAATGTTGTAAGAAAAACAAATGTAATAATTGTATAATTATTCTAAGAAACAATCCTTAATAAGTCTTGATTTATTTTTAATTTATTTGTACTTTGGGACAACGATGATAAACATTTTCTTGCTATATTTCTATTTTAGTGAGTTGTATTGTTGGGCTAGTGCGAAAATAATGCAGGTTTTGAAAAGAGTCAAAACTATTTGCACTTTTTCTAAAATGAAGAAAATTTATTCAAAACATTTTCCATCACAATCCAATGATCTTTGCCAACGAGTAATAAGCGATTTTATTCCGCTGATATAAAAATCTTTATTTCGACTCACGATAACTTCTTGGAGGGCGTTTTCGGCTTCACCGCGTTCTCTAGAAATTTTATTCCTCAAAAACTGATCAAAATGCCTGAAAAAGTGTAGTCTGTAGGCGTGAGGTCGGGCGAATATGGAGGGTGCAGTAAAGTTTCATATCCTGTCCTTAAGTTTCCGCAGGGTAGGGACATGTGGTCTGGCGTACTTATTTTAATGTATACAAAATTAAACGAAATTTTAAAAAAACCGGTTTGAAAGAAAATTAACCAAAAACCGTA